TGGATAAACTTACGTTGGTCACACGCCACGCTCTCCTTCAAGACGCCCACTAGGCTCGCCAGGCACGCGGGGTCGCGGGTACTCTGTAACAGACAGAACCGTAGAGAACACAGTGACGGTCCTCCCGTCGGTTATGTAAAGGTTGGCAAGTATTGAAACAATGATATGCAGCACCGCGTGGTCGCACTCACGTCAATCAGAGTCACCAGGTCCGCGATCAGGGAAGGTCGGCGGGTGCGCATGAGCGACAGGGTCCTCTCCCTGCACGCCTTGTCTGCAGGGGCAGTAATACAAAGGAGAGCCGCGGTCAGTTGGCAGTTTTGGGAGATACTCCTCTGCGACTGAAAATTCCAATGCGGCGGGGAGTATAGATCCTCCCAGCGCCATTCCGTCTGGCCCGGCGCCAAACCGGCCAGGAAGCTCGTCTGTCATCGCCGGGCGAAGTTCAACACCGCCCCATGTTTGTTCTCTCCCGCCCTCGTCAGCGACGCCTCTGTGACACGTCAGCGAATCGTCACAGTGACAATAAACAGCGCCGCATCGATGAGGCGTTCACGTTACAAAACTACTACGAAAGTTTGCTGGCGGCGGGGTTAAAGACGAAGAATATTGGAAAAGGTTTGCGAACGCGATAGACTATTACTCAAACGCTGACAGCCCCACAGGCGTCGGTTACCGCGCACCGCCGCCCGTGAGTAATGGTCTCCGGGGGATCGATCACGTGACCGGGATGATTAGCCAATCCGGATGCGGCAACTAGACTAGATCGAGGGTGTGGAGGAAGGGAGGGAAGAAGGGGGGTGAAATAAGGAAAGATGGCAACGATTGGAATGGAGTTTGAAAAGATAGGTAGGGGTTGCAAACGAAGAGAGTGAGAGGAGGAGTGGATTATGGGGACTGGGGTCGGCGAAGGGGCTGGGTGGCGAGGGCAGGTGGAAGAGAGATGACTCCATAGTGTGGCGTGCCGCAGGGGTGCAGCGAGCAGGGTGTGGCGTGCAAGGTGCTGTCCCACCCCAACCTCCCCGCCCGCCCCGGCAGAGCCGGTGGGAACGACG